ACTTTCTTCTCTCAGAAAGTGGAAGTTTCTGGGAAGTTGGAGTGAGAAACTGAAATAACAGCAGGATGGAAAGAGATTTAGTTTAAACTCCAGGAGCTGCCGTATCTGATGAAAGCTGAATGCTAAGTGAATCATCGTGACTCAGTAAATAGGATAATGGTCTCCCCCTCTGGGATTTCTATTCCTGCCTGAAGAAACAGAAGCCTTGCTAAGCCTGCAGACAAGTGAAACCCAGGCTGCTCAAGCCTGCCTTGCAGGAGGGCAGAACATGCCCCTTTTCACCTGCTGCCATGTACAGTAAATCTATCCTGATCTAACACCCTCCCAGTTTGATCTGGATGGGTCAAGCAGATACTGCACAAGCTCCCCTCCTACAGCACTCTTTGTTTTAATGTGTGAGGAGTCTGAAATCCCTGTCCCTGAAGCAGCCAGAGCACATAAAGGATTATAGGGATCCTGTGGTCTTGGGGTTTCCTTAGAGCAAACAATTTTAGTCTGAAGCATATCTTCTGCTCCCCTACTGTCCCATTTTCTAGACACCAAATCTCCCTGGTGTAAACTGCAGAAAACAGCAACCTGCTTCTGTACATATTTGTGTTGCACTTTTTAAAAGCGTGTTGAATCACAGATTTGGAAGAGAGGCAGAAAGTGGAGTGGGCAAGATGTGGGCTGGCATAAGGGACTGAGGGGCAGAGAGAGCACTCATGCAGTGGGGAAAAACTAAAAATCCATTTTGGTCAGCCAGAGCTGCAAAAAGACAGCTGACAGCATGCCCTGTGGGGCAGAGAAAAGAGCAGGGAATGTTCACCTGGAGCAGTGGTGACAAGTCTGCCTGGACCAGTAACAGTGCTTGTCTCACCTCAGAAGGCTGGGACTACTCCAGAATGGACCAGTTGCTGTGGTGCTGCACCTCATCTGCACTTCTGCTCCATTTGCTGTAGGAAGATCCATCTTCATTTGCCCTACAAAAGCATGTAAATGTCAGTCATTTATGTCTAAGAAATATTCCTTATCCCTTGATTTCCCTGGGTGGTCAGGTACACAAATAAAGCAGCATCTGTAGGAGGTGAGAAACCTACCATCAAGTGGGCTTGAAACTCACCTCCAGTGGTGGTGTTGGTGTTTATTTTCTTATTTATATTAGGTAAAATCTTGCTTGCCCTCTGGATGTCACTGTTGTGCTCACTTATATTTCTCTTCTTCACAGGCCTGGCTTATCTTTCCCTCAGTATCTGACTAAGCTTGCAAGAAGTTAGTTTCCCTTCTTTGTTGGTCTATCAGGATATCTTATCTGGAAAATGGGAAAAAGTATTTGTCCAGATCATGTTGTGCAAATATTTGAAAGGGTAATTGCCCTTGCAGGATTGCCTTAAAGGCACCAAAGGCAAGCACAGCACCATCTGCTCCAGTCAGAACTTCCTTGGGTTGTCAGAGTCAGTCCTCTTGCAAGTGTTTCCCCAAGGTTCCCTGCTCTGGGTCTTCTCTGCACAGCTCCTTGCTCCTTCCAGACAAAGAGATGATATAATGAGAGAGAACAGTGCTTGCAATATCTCTCTGTGGCTTCAATTTTACTTTGTTTTTGGCCCCTCCTCAGACGTGTCCAAGCTGTACATCTACAGAATTGTGTGCAGTGCCAAAACCCTGGACTGCAGTATTTTCTACAGTGGGCAGTAGAAATCTCACCTTGATGCAAGTCTCTAAGAACAGATAGGGAAAAAGGTCAACATCCTGCTCCTCCAAGCAACTAAAGCTTACTGCAGCAGAGCACTTCACATTTTGCTTTTGTGGTGAATAAACCAAGCCCCAAGGAGAGGTTCGATGTTGCATCTGGGGACTCAAAGACCAGGCAAAGTGGGAGACAGTGATGGTTGGCACTTTGATGGGACAGTGACCAACACAAAGGGAGATTTAGTGTCTAGAAAGCTAGACAGCAGTGGAGCAGAAAATACATTTCGAATCTGTGATTAAAAGTCAAGACCTGTCAGAGCAGAGGGTTCATTCAATTTCTTTTTTCTTTCTCTCTCTTTATAAAGCACTTCATAACCTAAATCTTTCCCTGGCCAGACTTTCTGCATTGTTGGAGGAGGCTGTGTTTGTAGGAGCCTTTTGTTTGATTCCTGCTTCTCTATTTGTGATTTACCATTTTATCCACAGAAAATTGTGGTTTCTTTGAGATTTTTCTTATTGATCTTCTCTTTCTCACTCCTCCTGCTAAACCTTGCAGGACTTATGCTCACAGGAATTGGCATCTTCGTATGTGCAAATTTTGGGGTGATGAAGCAGGACAGTGAAAACTTCAAGGAAAGTAGAAGGTTCTCACAGAATGTGCACGTTCGCACCACTTCTTTTTGTTGTTACTTTTAAGTATGTGAAGTGCAGTGATGTGAAAGGAACTTATGATCAAGTGCTCTAAAGTCTACTTTGTAGGAGAGCTGGCTCTTTCCCTCGGCAGCTGCTTTGTATGGCAGCCTGCAAGGGATGTGCCTGCATCCTGAGGGAAAACATGCCAAAGGATGGTCCTCCTGCCAGGGCAGGTTTGGTGCCTCCATGGGAGCTGTAAGGGACAGTTCTCATGATGCCATAAATAACTGGAAGCAGTAGCTGTTTTTTCCATGTTTTCCACCTGGCCTTGTCCTAGCTTTGGATCTCCTTTCACAGTAGAATCCAGTCATGTTTTTGTTCTGATGGGAGCAGCCTCACTCAGAGACAGATGGGGGCAGCTGCTAATGGCACCTGGATAAATGTTGCCTTGCAAGGAGAAAAAAACAGAGAAGTTAATCCATACTCAGTCTCAAAGGTTATTGCTTCACTGAAACATTTGCTAGCAGGCTGTGTATGATATGATGCTATTTTTTACTTTTGAGTTCCTGGAAGGAGCGCTCTTTGAAAAGTGTTGCTTAACTTGCCAGTGTAGAGCTGCTGCCTGTCCATGGACACAGCCTCAGCAGGGGCAGTGTGGAAGAAAAGTCACGTCCCAGACAGACCCTGCTGGTCCTTCCTGGTGTTGTCTTTACATCTGACCCTTAAAATGCACTGCTGGAATTCCAGGTACCATACTAATATGAAAGAAATAATATTGGGAAGTATGACTGATAATCAAACACGGCCTTATAAAGGCTATTATAATTTAGAATAGACACCTATGAATAAATCCATTGTGTTTTAATGTTGTTCCATATGCAGAGATGTTTACCATTGTAAGTAGTCCATGTTAGGTGGGGTTTGTTTGTTCTTTCTTGATTATTTAACATGCTGGCAATCATCTCAGATTTACACAATTTCTGTTGCTTGTACAAAGTAACATTTAATTGCTCTCTAGTGTATTGCTGTGTTGTCATTTTGTTTTACTGAGCTTTAAACTTCTGCATTCCTCAGAGCTTATATCTCCAGTTTCTTCTTCTTTGTCACACTGTCCTTGACCTGCTCCTTTCACTCAATATGTCTGAAACATTTCAATTTTGCATTCTCCAAATCCTCACTGCTAGGCTCAAAGGAAATAACAGCCAATTAGCCCTTCCCACCAGCTGATCAATAAATGTGTGAGATTGTCTTGGAGCTGTGTTTGTTCCTCTCAAGTCCTTTCATGTTGAGACCAAGAGGTTTCAGGTTTTTGTGTGTTGTTTTGCATGCTTCTCTTCTCCTGCTTTTGTTTTCTTGCTTGACTCAATGTCAGCCTGACATGTACTTTTTTCTTTTTGTCTGCTCAGGCGCATATTTAAGGGTTATTTAAAGGCTCAAAATAAGAAAGGTTCGAATGAGGCAACAGAAAAAGAACATATTGCAAATGAAGGCCATAGATGTGATTCTCCTCCTTTGCAAATGCATATTCATTTTATGCAGGGGGCAGGATCTTGCAGTTTCACTAACTGTGGCTGCACTCAAAAATAATGATAAATTACATGTAATGATTCTGTGACCATTTTTTACTTTGTATCCAAGTGGATTCTAATTAAATGTTTTCTGAGCCCTAAAACTTGACTTTTCTTTGCCCAGCCTCTATCACAGGCATTACTACAGGATTAGAAACCCTATAAAGGTCAAAAATTCTCTTTTTTCAAATGACTAGCCGGTGCTGATAAAATTATTAATTACACTGTATGGTATTCTGGTCATTAACTGCAATGATCAATGATTTCCTCAGAGACAGTTGCTCTATTAAAAATACATCAGTGATAAATTATCTTCTCCAAGGTTCCTGCTGTAGGAGGTGTACCTCGCAGCTCTGAGAAGAACCATTTAATTAGCAAATGTGAGCTGTTCTATTTGCAGTTTGAGAAGAGGACTTTATCTTCATGAATACCAGGGCTGGTGATGAGCTGCAGCCACTGAATTTGAGAGTGCACCTTGAGCCCTGTGCTCTGCTCCAGGAACACCTCCTGTTCACAAGGACATCCTTCAGGACAAGGACCATTTGCCATTCTCCATCTCTGGGGATATTCTCTCTGGAATCCAAGGAAGATTCAAGCAGTAAATGCACATCCTACAGTCAGGTGGTCAGGTGCAAGATGTGTGAAGGTGACCATCCTTCTTGCACACAAAAAGGCTGTAGTCTTCATCTCCCTCTCCAAAAATAATGACTTGATACTGGTGTTTTGACTGGCATGAAATCTGCAGCATCATTCAGCACTTCCCTCCTCTCTGACCAATTACTTAGTCTTGACAGACTCTGCCCACTAAGGGGAAAAAGGAAGCTCTGTGACTGGATAATACATGGATTATAAACTGTTGACAGCTTTGGCATTCTTTGCTCTGAGAGGTGGATAATTGTACAAAAATTTCCAAAGTTGTATTATATTAAAACAAAAAAGTAAGGAGCTTTTTTTTTTTTGTTTGAAAATGTTTAGATAATTGGTGATTTCATGAAAGACCCCAAAAGGGAAAACAGTGAAAAAGTTGGGATAAACAGACTTCCAGTGCAGATATTTTCAAAATATTCTATCCTCTACTGAGCAGTGTAAGATGGCCTTCTCACTCCTGGAACTTCAGTAAAATGGAAAATTAACATTTTTAAAGTATTTCTTGCATAAGAGAAATCGCAAATAAAAAATTATAAATATTTTGATCTGTTGGTACATATATGGAGAGAAGTACAGAGATGATGTCAGTTGTACTTTGAGCTATTTCATGGTTTCTTAATGCTAATTTAGCAGTGAGAGATGTGGTGGTCCATGATTAATCCCCTCTTAGAACAAAAGACCAGTGAATAGCACACAGAAACCAGAAAGCTCGTGGTCAAAGATGATGCTTTGCTAAGCATACATCTAGCAGAGCAGAGAGAGATTCTTCATGGCTGTCCTGTGATTGAAATGATTTATTCATCAGGACAGTGCTGCCATGATGAGGTTACTGCCTTAAGACTGCAGGGGAATTTGTAGAGCACAATATTGCAATCACTGTGTTTCATTGTTTACCCTGGGTGCACGAAATACTCTGTGACCAATCCATTCTTACAATAAACACCTTAGACCTGTATTTTTTCCTGGCAATCTGCAGTGAGACTGAACCTTGCACTTCAGGAACATGACTTTTCCAGAGGCATGACTGGCTCCTGATCTAATTTTCTAACTCATAGCTGATTGGTCCCAACTGGACAAGGCATGCAGATTTTTTGGCAGAACACTCACCTCTGTTGCGTTGCAGTGCCCATGATGGGTAGGAAAAGAGTGGATTGTGCATTAAAATCCTGAGTGATATTGTTTACTGGAAGTAAAGAGAAGACTTTGAACTACAATAATTATGTTTAAGAAGAAAGATACAAGAGCTCCTAGATGGATAATAAGTTTCTTATTTATATGCTCACCCACTAAAATGCAATCAGCAATAAAAAGCTGTTCCTTTAAAAGACACTCAAGTGCACTTGCTGCAACATAAAAATTTGTTCATTTATTTCAACACTTACTAAAGAAGCAATTAGTTATGGTTAAACCTGATAAAGCAAATCTTCACAGATGAGAGTTTATTTATTTATTGTTAACTCCTTCATAATTAATGGAGTTTCATTTAGTTGGACCAGTGACTCAGTCACCCAGGAGAGCAAGAGCCATCATTCCTGCTGTGTTCTTAGCCTCTGGAAAGCACAAAGCTGAGAGGAGAAAACTCATGCTGGCTAATGCTGATGCCAGTAGATGAGAATGCTTAAATATGTGAATATCTGTGAGCAGAGCAGCCCCTGTGAGGAGGAAGGAATTTTTTTTTTTTAAATGGGAAATGCAAAATCCCAGTGGCAATCAATCAGAATAGGTAATCAAAAACAGAGACTTTGTGACGAGGTTCAAATGAGGAAAAAGGAGGTATAATTCCCTCCCCAATTAAACCTCAGGACATACTTATTCAGCAAAGAACTGCCACTGCATTAGGTTATTTAAAGAGTCACACCTTTCCCTCACAATGAGATAATGATTCATCCATCATGGGTAGAAGAGAAGGATGTTACACGAAATCTGTTGCTTGACAATTAATGTGGAGCAGATGATACTTTTGGAAAGGCTAATTTTGACATTCTTCCTAAATGTTCCAACCTACAAATATTAATCATGGAATAGTTTAGTCTGAAAGTGACATCTGAAGGTCATCTGGTCAAGCTCTCTGCTCAAAGGAGGCTTTTTTCATTAAAACAAATTGCTCAGGGTCTTGCTCGGTCAAATTATTATTATTTCCATGAATGGAGTTCCCATTTTCCCTACAATGATTCAGTTTAGTGAACACAAAGCTCAGGAGAGTGAAGGAAGAAATGAACAACCAAAAGGGAGTAAATTATTTGCATGTACCAAGATAAGGATGGGATCAATTTATGATTGATGTGCTAAAGAGAGCGAGGAGATAGAAAGCTCTTTTCCTTTCCCATAACATCACAGCAGTCAGAATATGTCTTGGATCAGTGACTGGAACTTGAGATGCATAGAAATGGCTGTCAAACTCTTAGCTGGATTAGAGAGAGGAGCAGACTTTTCTGTGGGTACACTATGGGTGTAACAGATGAGCACGTGAGGAGTATGCTGACTTTTGTGGAAAATCTTTCTGGTAGTACAGACATTAAAACTGGAGTTGTCCTAGTGTATCTTCTCCATCATGGGTATTTTCAAATGCCAATCTGTCAGGAGGTCTTATGCACAGCTAATTTGGCCTTGCACTTGGAGGACAGATACAGTGATTTGCCATTTCAGCTCCATTTTCCCCAGTCTGTGATGGAAGAAGAATTTTGAACCTCTTCTAAGGTCTTCTTGTGAGCTGTGAGTCAAGGATTAGAAAGCAGTAGACCAGTTCAGCCCTGCAGATGTAAACACATAAGATGAATGCTTGTAAGCCAAGCCCTGGGGAAATTATATACCTTAGTTAAATTGACAGTTTTAAGAGTAGAGAAAGCTCCATTTATATATTTATCAATGGCTGAGAAACCAAAAAAGGAGTTTTCAAATGATGTTCCCTTAAAAAAGGTGCACTCAACAATACAAGATTTTTGAGGGCTAGAAGGCTCTGATCATTACCTGACCCTTGATTTCAAAAATTTGTGTCTTGGATCTTATTTATAAAGCCAATATTCTTCAGCAGTGAAACATCCTGGGACTTCACAGCAGTGGCTGAGTGAAAGAGCTGGTAAAGCAATATGGAACAGTGTTGTTCAAATCACTGCACCAAATCCTACCTTTATGGGTAGGATTTGGTGCAGATGAGTTACTGTCGCAGACATCTTTTGTGAAAAATTCTTTCTTAGGAGTTTTCCTTCTGAGAAGCTGCAGTTTCAGCAACAAAATGTAAATAATGGTTATCTGCTGCTGTGGAATGCAACAGGTGCACCTGTGATTGGCTCATCTTGAATGTGTACAGTTAATGGCCAATCAAGGACTGAACTATCTCGGACAGAGTCTGAGAGAGCTTCCTTTTGTTGTCTATTCTTTTCTTTTCTATTCTTAGCTTAGCTAGCTTCTGAGGAAACCTTTTCCTTCCTTTACTTTTTAGCATAGTTATAATGTAATATACATATATATCATAAAATAATAAATCAAGCCTTCTGAACATGGAGTCAACATTCTCGTCTCTCCCTTCACCTGAAAACCCCTGTGACCACTGTCACAAGTTACAGCCATTTTTTGTCTCTGTTGAGCACAGTAATGATGTTATTTGCAGTTCTAGTGAAGAAGCACCCAGATAACAAAACAGCCTTGGCAGTCAGTGCCTTTGGCAGTCCCCAGAGAGAGACTGAGGACTGAATGGCCATGTAGACTGAATATGTGCAGCAATTTCCATATGGATGCATCTGGTGTAGCTGCAGTCTCTTTTTAGTGGAGGATCCAACACACAGTATTCTGCAGAAATGTGATTATGAGAGTTCATGCTTCCACTGTGTGTTCCATGGAGATCTATCCAAATGCTTCAGTTGTTAACAACCATTTTTTCTTAAACTGCTGTGATTAAACCAGACCTACTGCAATCATAATATTATGCAAGTGTCAGCAATGAGTGGAGAAGTGCAAATTAAATCCAGTCTTATCCCTGTAGTCAATGAAGCAGTTTCTTGAAAACTGTGACATTCACTGCAGGTAGAAAAGATTCTTTGAATACTTTCACTGTCCAACTAAGGATTAAAAAGCACTTTCATAAGAAAGTGAAAATGTGTGAAAGCCAAATTTGTATCCTGTGCTCAATAAAAATGTATCAGCACCAAAACCTCTGTATAGTTTAGCAATTTTTCAGTCCTGCACCTTCACTTAGAAACCAAATGTCCATAGGTACAAGTATTCACATAACAGCACAAATCAGATTTACTCAAATTGCCATGTTTCTAGGAAATATCATATGACTTTGGGGGATCTCTATGTTGAGCTGCAGTGAGAAAACATGAAGAAGACCAAGGATTTGCTTTGCAATTAGACAGCAATGTAAGTTGTACTTTCTGTTTCACCAGAGTTCAAATGTGTGTAAGTGAAGTTTGTAAGGATGGGAATGGTGTTGATGAGTGTATGAATGAATGAAATATGTTACTCTTGACATAAAGTGTAGGTATTCAGAGGTAGGATTGAATTCCAAAAATTTTGTATTGGTAAGTTTTGCACTAAATTTCATGTTATGGTTACATATAGAATAGTGAGAAGGCATTGTGAAGGTAGGTCAGAACTGTATGAACTGTTTGCATTATTTGTTTATTTTTTAAAATTTAAATGCTAAGAGTGTTGATATACAAGAATATCTCTAATTGTTAAGAAATTCATTTCAACTAGCCAGGTTGGACACTGCAGGACCTCGCTTCTATCTTTAGCACAGTTTTGATCACAGTAATATAATCTTTGACAAATGCCACAAATATACCAAAATATATGGTAAGAGGCAGGGAACTGTTCATTGTAACAATGTTTATAATATTTATTGCAACAAGAGAGGGAGTTTTATTACAGAAGTAGACTTGGGAGTGGTACCCTGCAAGAGAGAATGCACTAAAGATGTTTCTGTTGGCTTTCCTGGTCTTTGCCACCTCACTTTACCAACCAGCATAAAAACATTCCTAGACATAGAAGGCTTCTTTTTTTAGGTCTAATAAATTTCACTTGTTTATGGAAAGAGATTGGGAGAGATGAAAAAGGAGTATGTATGTATCTTTTGGGAGAAACTTGAATAAGAACATTCTTCTTAATAAAATGTGCATTGGAACTCAAATCACACACTCACATTGTTGTCCCATAAGCAAATAAAGCACGTGGGGGAATTGTGTTCCTGCTGAGTCTCCCATCTCAAAGGAAAACGATGGATGAAAGTTTTCCCCATCTTACATTTTTGCCTATTCTTGGCCCTTGTTGTTACTGTGCTATGGCATGGTGGCAGCTCAGTCAGAGTTGCAGGACATTTTGTAAACAGAAAGACAAAAAAAAAAAAAAAAAAGTGTAAAAAAAAAAAAAGGAAATGTAAAAAAAAAAAAAAAAAAAGTGATTCCTCTCCCAAAGAGCAGAAAAATAAAGGCAGACAGAAGACAGCAGATAGATGTGGTCAGATGAGAGGCTAAAATGAAACAGTAAGAAAATGTGACATGCTGTGACAACCAGCAATTCCCAGCAGACCTGCATTATAATTGCTGTTAAATTTCTCAGTTGTTGCTGTTAAAATAGAAAAACAGCAAAAGAAGGCTTTAAAGGTGGCAATCAGTTGGCTTTGCTTGTGTTTTCACCTTTTGTTCCTTCTAAGGGGAACACAAAGGTCCTAGGAATGTGACTCCTTCAGAACGTTACAAGGGAGTGAAGGTGTGGGTTGACCTGGGGTGGAAATCAGTATTTATTTTACACTGTTCATCAATAGGTCTGCATGTAAGTGAGGTAGAAATGGTGCTTTCTTTTAGGTTTATCTTGCAGCAACCTGGTTTGTGCTACCCAGAACCTCTCCTCCTGTACCTGGGACGAGTTTTGGATCCAGCTGGAGGGTACTCAGTCAGCTCTAAGCAGTATATTATACCAGCTATTCTGTAGAAAGTGTTAGGTACATTTGGGAAACTGCTATATTTTTCTTCTGAGAGTTAAAGTTTAAAGCAGTTAACCTCAAAGTCTTCCTTTTAAAATTCATATGATCTGCAAATTCTTTTCCACTGGCACTTCTAGCAAATGTGGAATGTTTCTACCACACAATTCCTCAACCATTTCCGCAATTTTGCTGTTATCAGTTCCCTAAGGGGACTTGATTTGTTTGTTTATTTCAAAAGAATCCTATTTTTCTAGCATCCCTTACACCTCCAGCAACCTTTAGAATTTCTTATCTACCTTTGCAGTTTTCCCTCTGCTGGTGACAGTAATCTTATTATAATCTATTCCAGCCTGCAGAGAATTCTAATGAAATCTCTTCAGCGTGCCTCAGCACACTTGTAATAAAGGCGGGGTGACTCACACACTGAAGTTTCCAAGCAGTGTTTGAGGAGGGAGAGAACTGGATAATTCAGAGAACTGGGAAGGTTATCATGACAACTATTTCAGTTTCAAACCTGTTGAGAAGGAATCAGACTGCTGTGGGTTGCTGACTATTTGTTGGATAACGTGAGATTCTATCCCTGCATTTGTGGAGTGTTTTCATCCAAGAATTTCAAAACTTAATATGCATGTTCAGCCACAGGGAACAGAAAGAAACACACAGAACTGGGAGGAAAATATACTGAGAAGATCTTTGTAACAGGCTGAAATCAAGGACTTGATGTGGTGTTGTGTCAAGCCAGCAACAAATTTGTATTTCTTGATCTTACACTGCTGACTAATTAGGCTTAATATGTCCAGTGTGCTTTGAATGAGGTATTAAGTGCACTGCAGAATATGTTTCAGCTCTAATAACCAGTAGGAATAATCCTGTTAAGGTGATTGGGCCAATTCCCTGGGTGGCATGCATAATGCTGGCAGTAATTCCAGTATGCTGAATTACATTTCCCTCATACACAGGCATGGCCATAGTTTTGTAAACCTAATGTGGAACAAAATTAGCAAGGCATCACCTAGAAGAAGATCTCGCTTGTTTCATATTACTGTATTTTCATAATTGAAATAATATCTACTAAACTATATTAATAAATTAAATCAAGCTTAGTAATGTTCCTAAGGGGAATAACATTTAGCTAATATTCACCAGACACTTATTTAGCCAATTTATTGGTTTATGTCCATGTGTCTTCTAACATTCAGAGTATTAGTAATTTCTTTTGCTGTTTAAATTTGATTACCTTATTCTATTTAAAATTTCTGTAATAAAATAAAATACCCGTAGCTCAAAACTATCAAGTTGCAGAAAATACTTTTTACATTCTCAAGTCTTATCAATGCTGAATGAGGAGCATTTGTCCTAACTAATTAGGTGCTTAGGAATATAAACACAAGGATTATATTTTCTTAGAGAGAAATACAACCACATCTATCTAGCTGTCTAATCTATCTTATCTTATTTTATATAAAGCTATATTTACAGATCCATAGAGATCTTCTGTAGCAGAACAAGCTGTTCTCCCCATGCCCCAAACCAGTGAGGACAGTACAGAAATCTACAGTAGATGTGACACCAAGTAGGTTCTTGCTAAGCTAAAAATATTTCTTCATGAAATGTTGGCAAGGAATGAGCTGATTTATCTTAAATAACACAGCTTACCTAACCTTGTTTCCCCATTTCCTGGTCCCACTACTGCATTGATGATACCGGTTCCATGCCAACACCTTCCCAGTCATCTTCTGGTCTCAATCACTGTCCTTTCACTGACCTACAGGTAACTCTAAAACCTCCCATTGACCCGGGATTGTCTCCAAGTCCTTTTACATTACTTCTGAAACAACAGGTTTGCATAAATTGAGATGCGGACAATAGAAATTTTTTTTGCCATGGTTGTGTAAATGAGAGGCAGCTTTTCGTTTTTCTGGAGGGAAAAGTCAGCTTGGATGACCCTGAGAGCAAGTCCATTCTCAGCATCCCAGCATGTTTGTAATGGTTAATCCCCGCTCATAGGACTTATAAAAATATAAATAAAGTGTAGGTATTTCCTCCTCCAGCACTCCTGTAGCAGTGTGTGTGACAAAAGCTTATCTTTTCAAAAGCCTCTTAAGCCTATTGCCCATTGGGAATCTGTTAGTAACTTTAGGAGCAACCAGGGCACACTGTTGCCTCAAGTTACCATCAAATATTATTAAACTTGGGAGATTTCCAGCCAGCTACACTACATCTGACTTCATCTCAGGTCAATCGAGTTATCAGATCAATGTCTTTGGTAGACTTCTAGCTCCTTTCTTGTTTTCTCTTAGTTTACTCTTGTTTCTTTCTGTGGAGGTAATTTCTAAGTTTTGTCATTACCCATCTATAAAAATATCTCATGTTTTACTGACCTGATTGCACACTTGTAAAATGAAGACTGCATAATCACCATAAAAGACTAGAACCAACTTAACTGGAGATATTAATGTCGGTCTTAGGGGCCTGATTACAAGCTTGCTTAGATCTAAAGCTATTTAATTGCTTCACTTCTGCAAAACATCTTTATGTTCTAAATACGTTTTGTGCTGCTGTAGCTTATAGCTGCATAATATCCCTCACTCTTTTGACAGTGACATGTGGGTAAAATTGGATCCATTTCCAGATCCAAATCTTGCTAATTTCTAAACTGAACTTCCTAATAGTTTTGCATTTAGATATGGAGTTTGAAGTTTCATCCTTAAACTACAAACTATTCAGAGTATGGGACAGCTACTCCCAGTTTAACAAAATACTAAGAGCTGTCATTTACAAATAATTCAGGCTTAACCAGATGTTTGGCATGAAGCACATTACCACGAGTCTGGATAGCAGGAACAAAGCAATTGTTCCTGAGGGCACCATTGCCTTTGTAGTAACTGGCAAAATGATGGTAGATTTGGAATAGAGAGGTAACATTAGAATCACATTTTCAGTACAGAGAAGGGGCTCTAAAATATTCATGGTAGCTCAGTGAGAGACCGTGTCTTGCAGTTGTGCTCTGCACTCAACCATCCTCAGAGATGACTTTATTTTGCCTTCCAAGTCTTGATTGTGATGTGGTTAAGTCCAGTACAAAGCAAGGACTTTACTGAACAAAAGTATTTTTCATTCCAGTCAGAGGATCCTATGTTCTCTCAAGAAAGGCTCTCACTGCTGGTGACCAGCATTTGAAATGCAGTAACTAATTTTGGTACATTTCTTCAGGTTGCTTTCTTCTTTTTTTTTTTTTTTTTTTTTTTTTTTTTTTACAATGGTTTCATCTCATTATAAACTCAGTGGAAAAAATTCCCATGTCACCATAAAGCTCCAGTCCCTGCAGTTCAGATCATAGAAACAGTCAGTTCCCTGTTTTTGCAAATGGAAGAGGTTGAATTTTGATTGTCCTCACAGCCTTTTCTCTTCTGCTCATGCCATCATAAATCTTCTCTTTAGAGGCATTTCATTATGTATTGTGACAGTTGTGCTTATAGAAATGTTTTCACTCCTCTTTACAACCATTCTACAAAGCAGACTGGAGATAAGTTTTTCCCCTTACCTTTTGTTGCACCTTTTCTTCTACCTACAAGAAATTGGAAATGTTTTCCTGCTATTGTTCACTTAGAGATCTCCTTGGGTACTGTCTTCTTTATTTAATAGACCCTTTCTTGTTCTCTGCTCTATTTTTAGTTTAGTTAGTCCTATTTTTAGCTGTCCTTTATAAAACACAGCCTCTTCATTTTTAATATTGAGGCTTAAATAGTCTGATTATAGTTAAAAATTACAATAGCTGTTTTTTGACCATATAGATTTTACTTCTGGTCCTGTCAGTATCTGTCATTTTCATGAGATTCTTTTAGACTATGGGAGGCTTCCTTGCAAATCTGAATCTGGGTCTGACTTTTCCCTTCACAGTGATGCACTCTTTGCGAAGAGAAGTACTTTCTACACTGATCTGTTCCTTGAAATTTTTAAAATGCAACCTACCTAAGTCTTGAATGGCAGAAGTGACATCATTGTGGATCAGAGTTTAAGCAATTATCATACAAAATTCCTTCATGAAAAAAAGGGAAACACTTATACATCATATTTTCACTTTGGGTGGTATCTCTGGCAGTGTTTGTATCACAAATCATATGGATGGCATGTTTTTACACCTGTGGTAATAGATGTAACACTACAGCCTTACAAACATACCAGGTGCTTAGTGTGATTTTCTTCTCCATTTTGTTCAGATCATCTACTCTTTTGGTTTGGTTTTTTTAATGATTTTCTTTTAGGAGATGGTAATTGCAGCAATTTCGGAGCCTTTCATTCTATAGTTCATTACAAAGCTAGGTGTGGAATTATACATTATTTTACATTGACTGGTAATTGTTCTAAAATCCTCTGTCAAAAAAAGAAGTAAAAGCAATTGTTGACATGTTAGATGCTGTAGGCTCTGCTGTACAGAACATGTCAGATCTACGAGGAAAAATAGAGTGGAAAATATAAAGTGCTACAATAGGTAGAAGAAGTTAAATTATACTACATAACATCAATTGAGATGTCTTTGAATATCACTGGTAATCATCCACCATTAACTGTTGTTTCTCAAACTCTACAGTGTATTTTATGAGGTATTTTGACCAATTCAAGCACATATGAATAACCTTTTGTGTTATTTCTTCATCCAGACTTCTGCTGTTTAATCATTCACCCAACAGACAAGCACTATAAATCATTTCAGTCATTCAGCCCTGCCAACCTTTCTGCAGTAGCTTTCAAAGAATGAAGAAGTCACAGCAGGAGACTTCCTCAAGTGCACTTTAAATCATGTGTGGCAGGCACCAGTAAAGATATCCTCCTAAATGTAAACATGGTGTGCCTAGGCCAGCAAACAGACCATTATTTTAGACTGTGTAAGCATCACTGGACCTCATGATTTGCCCTTGAGTGCCAGAAGTTTCTATTTGTTTATCAAAGGTTATAAAGTATTGAAGAAATAGCATATGTTCACACAAAGTCTCTCCTAAAACATAAAATGCCCTCATGGTCCCAGTAAAAATTTTTGCTTAAAGAAAGAGTTTTTATTTGATCCTTATGTCTCCTTGCTTATCAAGGTCTTGATATCCTTAATTTTTAGCAATAAAATCCAGTGTTGGCCAAAGTGACTCTTTCAGAGTTCTTGGGCACAAAGCACTGATGCTGCCCCTGACTGTTTGGTCCCTTGAGTTGCACCAACTCTTCCAGGGCTGAATCAGGGCATTGTGCAAGGTTTAAAGGATGAGAGCAACAGGCATTCTCCCAGATATCAAACCATTATTGCATTCAATAATGGTTGAATTCGTTCAATAATATCTTGTGCCTTTTAAGTAAGATGGTGCTGTTCAAGGCAGTTGTCTTACAGTGCATCTCTTTAAAACTATTCCATCAGCTTGTCCAACTACAACGACAATTCTGACTGAAAGATGAGGATTTAATTAAAGCAAGTTAAGTTTTTGCTGTCTTGTAAAGATTTAATCTTAAAGGCACTGGACCATCTGGTACCAGATGGCACCATTTCCTTCACTGTCCAACTCAGCAAGTGCAGAAAGGCATGAACCAGCCTCTGAGTGACTGCTCTGTGGCAACACCAGTTTGCTTTCTTCAAGCTGATCCTTCCAATACCTGAAGCTTTTGGGAGGAAAGGGGATTCAGACACTCCCTTAGAATCAGGCAAGCCCCATTTCTTCCACAGGTCCTAAACCTGACCCTTGACTGTCAGACTCCCACTGAGATTTCACTGTCAGCACTAGGGACCATAGAGGCTGGTGATACCAGTCTGTTTGGAGGGAGACAGTGCGGGGAGGGACCATTTCATGATGGTTGCTGCCCCCTTGTCCTGGGTTTGCTCCCTGGCACACTCCTGAGTAGGAGGCAGTGGTCCTTTCACCTCTCTGAGCTCCTCCAGTACCTGCTCACATGAGTCGAGATGTGGTGGGCTCATCCATCCCACCTGACACCAGCACCAACGAAAAGCCAGGGCTTCTCCTCATCACAGGCAAAGGTTTGATGAAACATTTTGTGTTTCATGACTCCTGCTAGATTTGCCTCAGCAGGAACCCCATCACCTCCAAAAAAAAGGGCTTTTTCCTGGGTGAGGCAGAGCTCCAAGCCTCCCGTTCCTGCTGAGCTTGCTGTTCAAGTGAGTCTCCAGTGCTGCTTCTCCTGCATTAAAAACATACAGAGAATTGCATAAGAAAATGCCTTTTCGTGAGAAAAAACCTTTTTGTTCTTTTTTCAAGATCCAATCTCCATTGAAAGCATTCAGCTACGTTTTTTTCTTAGGCAATTAATTTAACTACAACAAAAAAGATTTAATACTTGATGACTCATTACAGGATTTAGGGATATATCCAGAGTTCATTCAGCTTCCACTCTTGAATGTCTTCAGTGCAAGGTGTATCAATCTTTTAGTCCTGGAGCTGCCTGTGCTCCTTAGAATTTATATTTTTTTGTTCATCTCTGCTCTTCAAAATTATTTAGATGGGAATAAAGATGAAAACTGAGTGGATAGCCAGAGTCACATACTATAGTCCAGGGATTCTCTTTGATGCAAGAAGCTTTCTCTCTGCAAGATCTTTTCTAGCAAAAGATGTGTGGATTGTGACCCTGATATTTGATCTCTACTAGAGGAATGAACTTCTTTTCTTATCATATTTTCTGCAATCTCTTGGGACTAGTTTTGTATATTATGTTCCATTCACCTTAGATTCTTTCTTAGAAGGGAGACATTTTGAGACCTCCAGAAGTTTCATTTCAGTTTGAAAATACACAAAAAATTTGTTTTTTAGAATGAAAACATAAGTATTAATAGAACTCCAAATGAAGTCTCAGGAGATCACTCTCCTTTTGATACTGAGATTCAAAGTCACGACCACATGCTCCCACAAGCACATCAGTTCATAAAAGCTGATTTCTTATTTCTATGGGGCTTGAGCTCCCAAGTATGAGCATGAGTATTCTGAAAACAAGATTTCACACTAGCAAATACAAAGGGGCAAGGAGGGATTATTACAATTTCAAGACAAGAAAGATGCAAGACAGGATGCAAGGGGAAAGAAGAGTAGGGATGCTTTCAGTTTAAGGGAATGTAAATAATACATACTGATTTTCTAGTGAGAGATGAACACATCAGGCCAGGCGTTGCCAGGAGCCCAGGAGGAAATGGGATGGAATTCCATTTCTGCTCTCCTTAGCACTGTGTCCCTGTTCCAAACCTGCATCCAGACAGGAGAGGTAGTGAGGGGTGCTGCCATAGGTTAGGGCTTGGTGAGGGACATGTACAACAAGAATTGTAATATTGCTAAGTTAGTCCTCTGAGCCTCCCCAGGGTGCTGCCACAGGAACATCTCAGTGACTCAGACTCTGCTTTGTGTGCTGAGAAATCTGATCAAAGGCTTCATAAATCTTGTCACTGGGGATGGGACATAAGACACAGTGTTCCTGCTCTCCCACTTTGGAGCAAGAAAGACAAGAAATTAATTTTAAAAGTAGAGCTGAAGCTAGTAATTCTCCAGTGAGAGTTTACTCTTCTGTCCCTATTTACCCTAGATCTTCATTCCTAACATACATGGAAATATGAGAGAAAATATGTCAAAAATGTGACCAATATTTTTTAATTAAATTACAGTTTCATTAAAAACATATTGGTTCACTGAGCTTTCCAGCCTTCATTCAAAACCTCTCAGACTCTTAATGACTCATGAGCAAGGATGTTTACATCTGCACTTCAAAGAGATGTCAGAGGAGCAGATACAGGGTACAGAGCAGACTTCAACCCACACCGTGGCGCTCAGACATCACTTTGCTGCCCTGCAACACTTCACATACACAAGTGGAAAATGATAGATAACTCCAATTTATTTTTTTCTAGTGGGCTAATGGTTAGAAATGGACATAGATGAAAAGGAAAGGGAAAGACAGAGAATAGATCATGGAATCATAGAATCATTACAGTTAGAAAAGACCTCCAATATCATGGGGTCCAACCTTTGACAGAGCACCACCATGTCAACAAAACCGTAGTACCAAGTGCCTCATCCAGTCATTTCTGGAACTCCTCCAAGGACAGTGACTCCACCACCTCCCTGGGCAGCCCTTACCAATGGCTCACCACACTTTCAGTGAAAAATTCCTTTCTGATGTTCAACCTAAACGTCCTCTGGTGGTGCAGCTTGAGATTATGTCCTCTTGTCCTGTCACTTGTTGCCTGGGAGAAGGGACTGACTCCCACATGGCTACACCTTCCTTTCAGGCAGCTGTAGAGAATGTTAAGGACTCCCCTTCTGCAGGCTAAACAACCCCAGTTCCCTCAGCTGTTCCTCATGGCTTATCCTCTAGAACCTTTGTTGGCCTCCAATGTCTTTCTTGAAATGAGGGGCCAACAACTGGACACAGCATTTGAGCAGTGAGAGTACAGAGGGACAGTCATCATCACAGGGACAGACTGATTATCATGACAGATGCTGAAAGGGTAGGGTAAACAAGGACTGATTTCTCCTTCCCCCCATTTGCTTTCCCACTGCCTGTGTGTTCCACAGGTGGCTTAGTGGAGGTGGACCTGTGTTTGCATCCTGATGGTGCAGGACCAATGACACACACACACAGTTCTTTGACTGGAAATGTATCACCAAAAAGACATCTTGGCCAAGTACAAATGTTAGCTGAAAATGGCAGCGTCCTGCTGCCTGCTTCTGAAGTACTGGAGGTATAAAGAGCTCTGCTGTCTCACCCCGTGCTCTTTGCAGATGCCCTCTCACATGAAAACTCTTTTGATTTCGGCTCAAGGCTCATTCCCAGACTTGTACAGCAGAGAGGCTCCAAAGGTCACCATCTGCCTTTAAAAAATGAACACATCTAAGAAACTCCCAAAGCTACACAGGAGATGTCTCTTGACTTTATATTATTTGGTTGTATTTAATATTCTACTAATTTGCCAGATGCTTTCTCCAGGGTTTTGACAGTGCTTCTGCTGCAGTAAAAATCAGCACTGCTTCTTGGATCTGATTGCCTAATTCAGCACTGTCCTATGGAAAACTATCTCACATTGTTAAACAGTTTAATTTACTGAAAGACTTCTAAACAAATTCATTTACCAAGCAGTCAAGGTCATGGAGTATACATATATTTTAAGGTTTTCAAATAAAAATGCCCAAAAAAAAGGCCAGGCAAACTGATGTACTAAGACCTAGGAGTGAATAAGGGATGATATTTAGCATTTGAAAGTTGTAAAGATGGGTGAGGCTAGTAGAGAAAGAGATGGAGGTTCAGCTGGGAAGCTGTCACTGTCTCTCCCTGGGTCCTGGCCTGCTGTCATTTAGGTCCCAGCTGAGTTATGTCGCTCCAGACTACATGATTTGATTTTTTTCTTACCTGCTCAGGACCTTAGCCAAGGGCTGGTTTCCCCAACATGCAATTCATTATGCCCACAGTACAACCTGCAGTCTTTTAATCTTCCTTGAGTTTTCCATATCTGTTGGTCATGATGTTTTGACTTCATCTACTCTTGTACAATTGGAATTTTACTGAAAGAGGAGCTCTTTGGACTACTATGAAAATCCACAAAATCCATCAAAAATATCTTATTCAAACATAAAAAGACCCAATTTAGGCTCAGTGACATCTGATACCAGACTTCTGTAATAGCATTTGCAGCCTCAACTTCTGTCCTTGACTTCCTCTTCCTATTTTGTAATTTTTACTGTCCTTTGCCCATTCCTCAAGTACATTTTCTCTTTGATCAACTTCTTGGTTTATTTTTGATCCTCCCTATTCCATGTGTGAAAACCTGTCTTTTTTTTGTTCTTTCTCTTAGGCCTTACACTTTCCCTTCCTCTACTTTTCATAATTTTCCTGGCATCTTCTTCTTTCCTCCTCTCCCTCCTTCCGCTCCTGGGGCTCAGCTGTGGCCATTGGTGACTCTACACAATTTCCACAAGGAGCTTACAGTTGTTCAGGGAAGGGAGGTGAGCTCCCCCAGCTCACCTGAGGGCACAAAACACTCATGTTCCCATCTTTCCATATCCCTTCTCCTTGGGGAAAGCTGAGCAGAGGCTGGACTAGATGGCCCTGGAGCCACCTTCCAGCCTGAACAACTCATGTTGAAGAAACCCTCATGGCTTTTTCCCTGGATTTAGAGCACAGCAGTAACTGGCTGAATGTGAGGCTGCAATTATTGCACGTGAGCAACCAGAGCCCAAGCAGGTACTCAGACCTCTAGTGAACTGATTTCAGTGTTGCTCATTGGGACTGTTGAGTCTCTGGGGAGAGTATCTGTACTGGGAGGGCTGATTTAAAACTTTTCTTCCCTTGCAGTCAAGATCAAATACAACAGGGAACACTTATTTCCTGCCTAAGGGGCTTGGCATTGTCCTGCTAACAACAATATTCCCTGAATAGATTTTAACTTTTTTTCTTGTTAATTTGAAATTTGTATTTGAAAGTTTCCCTTAAATGCATTTAGACATCTCCCTGGATGACCAATTATCTCAATTCATATAAACGTCTCATGCGTGAGCATTTCCTATGATAGCAATAAATGAAATTTAGTAATAAACTCTCATAAATTTATTAAGGTCCCACAGCCACAGATCACCATTGCAGTTCACATAATGCTTCCCTAGTTACTTAAAAGCTGTATTATATGCCATTACACTTATAATCCCACTTAATATTAGTCCACTTAACAACCTCTCAAACATTTGGAACTGAATTTACAGTCTCTCATCAGTGCCTCTCTGAGGTTTATTGCAACATTTCCTCTCTAAATGTTTTTGTGGTCTGAGAAAGGATTATTCTCATTGAAATGTCATAAGCTCAACAACTCACTTATTACTCCCCTCTCTATTCTTTATGCCTTATGGTTTTTTCCTACTGGCTTATTTATTCTGTATTGCACTCAAGCTAACCCCTCTCAATGCAGATGACAGCTTTAGGTCCTGGTTGTAAATCTTCAGTGGAAATAGCTCTAGATCCTGCACGTTACCTGCAGCAATGGCAAACAGTAACTTCTGGGGATGTCATTGCCTTTGTAGCCTTCGCTGCTGTTATCTTGCAGAATAAGCTTTACATCTCTGCTTTCCCCTGATTATTCACAAAAACACACAGCAGTCTGAGTCTGTGTCATGCCAACATCTCCCCCTGACTAATGACCCCACGTTCAGGTGGGTCAGGTATGTGACAGACCCAGGCATGAGTTTCCAGGCCTGAAATATACAACCAGTTCTCATCTAGTGCTGCTGGCTACGTAAAGTTCAAATAGGTTTTGCTATTAGAAAAGGCTCTGTAGCATGCAAACCACAGTGAACTGGAACTACTGGTTTATGCTGTCACCCTCAGACTTGGATCAGAGGGCTTTTGAATTTGCCAGGTGAGGCATGACATGGGTTTTACCTTTTTGTCACACTTTCTGCAGGCAGCTTCTACAGGAAATGTCTGATGAAGTTCCCCCGTCTGAAGAGTTTCCTGGGCAAGTACAGAACTCCTCACATTCATAGTGACTTTTCTCTCTGTGATGAAGTATGTCAGGATTACGTGTCAAAGCAGCCATCAATAAACACGACAGCATCCTGCTTTTGCAAGGACTTTTGTGGAAAACTCTCATGAACCCTGAGTTTGCCAAGAATCTGAATGCAGATCCAGATGTGCTTGCCAGAGCCGAGAAAGGTGGACCAGGCTGGCTGCTGATCTTGTCTCTATTCTTCTGCTTATCCTGCCAGCAGCTTTTTTCCCAGTTACACTGCACTGGACTGGCTTCCTGTCCTTCACAGCCCTTGCTGCTGCATCAGCCCCATGGATGGATATGGTTCAGCCTCTCCCACGCTGCTACCCTCCAAGATCTGTCTTTTCTTGCTGTAGATGACTTTGTCATGGAATAAGGCTTTTCTGACAAAATGCTCCAGCTTTTTTGGAAATACAGGAGCACACTGTACATGATGTATGGATTGGAAAACAGCTCCTGCCCGGCAGGCTGGCAGAGAACACGAGCACTGCTGTGTGATCCATACTGTCCTGAGCTTTTTGCAGCTCTGCTCAGCAAGGGGCAGCCAGAAAGCTTCCAAAAGAACCAGGATAAAGCTTTACCCAGATAACACTGATAAGATCAAAACATGACTCTATTCCTGTCTCTGTGTAGAGTTTTAATTAGGACTTTTTGGCAGGGGGTGGTTTTCCTCCCTCACTTGATGCTGTGGGCACCAAGACAGTATTTTCATATTCCTTGGTGATAGGAAATGAAATTAAATAATGAAATTAAATTAAATTAAATGGTG